TCAAAACTACCGGCTTCTCTGGCGCGGTCTGGGCGCGCGGCCTGGCGGGAGCGGGAGTGGGTTCCCTGGCCTTTAAATGCTGTTTGTGCTTCGTTAAAAAGGAGAATGGGGGAAAAAGGAAAAAGAAAAAAATGATTTCCCTGTGCATCTCCCCTTGGCAGTCTCTTGCACAAAATTCAATCTCTATTTTTTATGAGAAGTAAACTGTCTAAATAAATTTTATTAGGGGCAACCAATATATTTTCTGGTAGTTCCCTTTGTTCCACTTCTACGTGTATGTAACAATCTAAAACCTATTTATTGAGGAAAAATCACTGGATCCGTCATAGAAAATCCTTTTACTTTGCTTTGAAGTGATTTCTGAAGACATTCTTGTCATTTCGAAGATTTGGGGGCCATTGCGCCAAGGCCTCGCCTTGTTAGGGACTTCAGTTCCCATGATCATGTGGGAAATGCCTTAAATTATCGATAGCAATGGGCCTGACCGGCACTTTCCCGGCTGCCCCAGGAACGTGGGAAGATGATAGGGAATAAAACTCTAGTAAACACATCTCAGGCGCTGCCCAGGTGGATTCAAACATTGGTCAAAACGAGCTGCCGAGAGGGAACGGCTCGAGGCGAGCATTTTACATCCAGGCTATTGTCGTTTTCGTCGCTACGCCTGCTGGCAACCGGCTCCGCTCATCCGGCTCCGGCTCCAGCTTGCGTCCTCCCCACCTCGATGCCCCCACCCCGCCCCGTCAACCCTCCCATTCTCAGATTTCCCTTTCTTTTTTTCCCCCTTTCGTTTATGTACTCCCCACACCCACCCACCCCAGATCATATGTTCTGAAGTCTTAGAAGAAATGATTTAGTTTGTTTATACTGCTATAAAAATCAAGACCAATAGAAAAGTCATAAAATGAAGCGGGCTATCAATCACGCCGCAACATTGTTATTCAGAGGTTACTAACAGAGATGGATAATCCTTTGATTTTGTCCCATTGTTATTACTATGATGTGTCTTCACATTAACTATTACACATTTATTTATCGACCTGAAAGATACCACAAAACAGAATGTATGAGCGAGTGCGTAGGGGAGGAAGCTGAACCGCCGGCGGCTGTTCTCGGGGTGGCTGTGGGATAAAGGACAGGAGCGTTTGTATGCACACACGTATACACTCTGGGCCCTGCATCCTTCTTCTCTCCCCAGGTCGCGGCCTCTCCTCCCTCCTTCAAGACAGCGCAGGCCTCAGTGGACCTGCCCTTCTGGAGGAGCAGGCAGCCGCTGCCAGGCCCCCAGTCTCTTCCTTTGATACATTTCCCCCCACTGCCCCTGCGTTTGGATCTTAGATACCTCGCAAACCCCACCCTGGTGGGCACAACCTCCCCTGCGAGTGCTCGGGAACCCGCGGCCAGGTGCGAGCCACTTACAGGGCGCACGCTGTCCCTCCCCAGCCCGCCGTCCTGCCTCTGCCAGAGCGCGGTCGGCCTTGTGGCTTCTAGATTTGGGATTTTGTTTGCGGGAAAGGGAAGCTTTTATTGAAGGAACTCTGTTTGCTTTAGTTTTAAATATTCTCCTCCCAAGCAAAGCCTTTCTCGAAAGAACACAAGGCACTTGCGGAGCCGAGCACCCTCAAGGCTCCCAAACACGTCACCGCCGCCGCCCGGGTCCCCCAATCCCCAGCCCGTGGTCCAGGTGCCGCAGTCCCACATAGGCCACGTTGGCAGCAGCTGCGGCAGCCGCTGAAGCTCAACCTGGCCTGGAGCTTCCTGGAAAACGGTCTCTGCAGCTCAGAAGGAATCTGTGTGACTGATGCCTGGTGCTCACACGTGTGTGTACGTGTGTGCGCGCGCGCACGTGTGTGTGCATGGGAGGAGGGGAACGGACTGCAGGAGAGGAAGAGAAAGCAAAAGTGCCCCAGAGTTCGCCTTTCCGCCTCCTTTGTCTCCTTGCTCGTCCCTGTCACACAGCTAAGGACACACACACACACACACACACACACACACACACACACACACACACACACACACACACACAATTCCTCTCGCATCTGCTCTCAGGCAGCATTTCCAATGTTTTGTGTAAGTCAATTGGATGGCGAACAAAAAAAGCCATTTGCTTGGTATTATTTAAAACAGACTTCATAGGGCCACCCTTTTGTGGAAGTTTTATTTGCACTAAATGAATAATCTTAATTGCATCACCCTTGAATTAAAAATCAATGTTAATCAAGCTGAGAGTAGTAAATACCAGTTTTCATTGTGTTTGGGTAGAGGACATTTTTCCTGTGTTGCAAATAAAAATACAAGTCAAATAACTTTAAAAGGGCATTATGTTCTGCTACAAATACAATTGAAATGGATTGTTTAGGAGCAGATCAGAAATGGTACAGAATTTTGCACTTAATTTCCTCAGTTATCATTTACAATAAGAACCTCTGGGCTTGACAGCCAAGTCTAAACAGTAGTAAATTAGTACAAATTTATACTGATTTTACTCTAATAATCGTAATAAAAGCTTATAGATTTGGCACTAATTACATAAATGCCTAATGATCTTGAAAATTACTCTGGTTAGAAATATATTACTAATCTAAACTTTGTTGTTGGCTGGCTCTGAAAAATCAGAACATTAGAGATGGTTCGCTTCACTTGTTCAAAGCACTTTAAATTGTTCAAGTAGTTTAACATATTCAAGAGGAAACTTAAGAACATTTAACTTTATTTACAGCCTTAAATGGAGTTGGGAACCGAGCTGAACTTAGAAACTTTGACCAAAAGAGCCGGTTTTGGGCCAGGATGCAAAGGTGGGCCGGGCGGAGGAGCGGGAGTCGCGGGGAAGCCGGAAGGGAAGGGTGCTAAGCACACGAATCCGCACGACGCACGGGCCCCTGAAAGAAATCGCTGGAGCCTCGAAGCGCCAGGAAAGGCAACTCGTTTTTGCGATCTGGGTTGGCCTTCAGAGCTGGGTTTCGGTAGGCCTGGGGTCCCATCTAGGGCTTCCAGACTCTACCCGCAGGTGGGCAGCAGCGAAGTTTAGGCGCGGTCTGGAGGCCGCGGTGTAGCTTGTGGTGCAGATTGGCAGGCCCGAGCCAGCTGCAGGCCAGTGTCGCCCAGAGCGCGCTAGCGGGTGTTGACTCTCGAGTCACGCGGGGGTAGTGCCATGCTCTATTTTATGCCCTGCCTCTGCCCCAGAAAGATCCTAGCTCAAAGAGACAGAGCTGCGCCTTTGGGGCGAGCAAGGCGGCCCCAGAGGAAGGAAAGGTGTGCCTGGAGAAAATCGCAGGGAAGAACTAACGGAGGCCGGGTCCAGAAACCCAGAGTGAGGCCGAGGCGGCCGGCACCGCTTTAGCTGCTTCGAGGGCCTGGAGCCGCCAAGGCTGCTGCCGCCGCCGCCTCCGGGCGGGCGGGCGGGCGGGCGGAGTGGGGGACTCTCCGGGCGCTGACATTTGCAGGCTGCCCTCCTGATTGGTCCCCTTGCCGAGCTGCTCACGGGTTCATTCAACTGTTAAGCACCTCCCCATCTCTCTAAAGGACATTATAATGCAAGAAGCCCCCTTTTTAACCACAAACCGAATTTTCTTTCATTTAGGTGATCTATATATATCTATATCGTATAGCTTATAGCTTATATCTATTTTAAATAACTTAAAGTCGCTAAAATTTGGGGGGGAACAGCTTTCGCCCTGGAGCGGTGCGCTATGCTGTCTCACGCCGACCTCCTGGATGCCAGGTTAGGTGAGTGCGCGTCTCTCTGGCCGGGGCAACCAGGAGAAGCTGGGGCAGGAAATTGTCAATTTGCTCTTTATTTTACCTTAATGCGCCCTAAATGGGCTAATTTCTTTAAAAGTAATTGTGCTGCATTAAAGTTTAATTTGATTTAACATCGTCTTTTTAAAAAAAATCCATGGATATGTAGGTTCAAAAAAGGAGCTGGAAAATGTTACTTTTTGTTTTTATTTTTTCTCTTCCCTCTTCCCCTTACTATTACCTTTTTTTTAAAACGATCCACCCGTGATATATTTGTTTGGAGGTGTTTTTCTCTCTTTTTCTCTCCTGTTTGCTTTGATTTGGGATTTGTTTCTTATATTTTTTTCTTCTTTCTCTTTCTTCACTACCTTCCTCTTTCTCCTTTTCTAAGTATGGCTGAATTTGTTAAACTCTGGCATGAAAAAGAAGCCGCTGCAATCGAAGCAGATTTGCTGTGTGCTCACTGAGAATGGAGAAAAGCCAAATTCATCCTCACAGGCATTTCCCCCTACAAGGGACTAGGCATTGCCAATGGCTGGGAGAAACGCACCTTTTATTTTTCAGGAAAGAAAAGTCGGATTCTCTAAAGTTTGATTCACTGTTATGTCTATAAACTTTACGTGAGTTTCCTTACTGCTGTCTGGTTTGCTGGGCTCTGGGTTTCCGGTTTGGGAATCTTTGGTGATGGATGTGACTCCATTTTCCAAACACTTTCTCTGATTTGAGGGGGAGGCGGAGCTGATTTGGGTTGATTTCGGGGGGTGGAAGGCTTGGAGACTTACTCGTCTCTGAAAGTGAGAGGGAATCTGCTGAGGGCCGAAGGGAGAGTTCGTCAGGCTTCCTAAATGCAGGTGGGGCAGCAACCAAGAAAACATTTAATTTTCTTTTTTTCTTTCTTTTCTCCCCCCGCACTCCCCCACACTGTCGAGGGATATACTTTCGGGTTTCTGGGGCGCCAGGGTGCAGTTCATGAAAGGGACTCCAAGGCAGTCCAAGGTTTCGTTGTCGGGACTGGGAGGGGTTTCATTGTGGGAGAGACGAAAGCGTATACTGTTTACTACAGGAGCCGGCTGCGGAGAGGGGTAAGAGCCGGGAGATGGGATTCCAGGCTGGCTGTCCAAATCCTGGGAACCCAGCTGAGCACCCCGGCAGTTTCCTCCGCAGGGCGAAATTGGCGAGGAGGGAGCAGAGGACCGTGCGGAGAGAACAATCTCTCCTGGCATCGCCAGTAAAGTAGTGACCGCGATTCCCTTGCTTTCTCAGGTATGAAAGATGCCGCCGAGCTTCTGGGCCACCGGGAGGCGGTGAAGTGTAGGCTGGGCGTGGGAGGCTCCGATCCTGGGGGCCATCCGGGAGACATAGCGCCCAACTCCGACCCAGTCGAGGGAGCCACTCTGCTGCCCGGGGAGGACATCACCACAGTGGGCTCTACGCCGGCCTCGCTGGCGGTGAGCGCAAAGGACCCGGACAAGCAGCCGGGGCCTCAAGGCGGCCCGAACCCCAGCCAAGCCGGCCAGCAGCAGGGCCAACAGAAGCAGAAGCGCCACCGGACGCGCTTCACCCCGGCGCAGCTCAACGAGTTGGAGAGGAGCTTCGCTAAGACTCACTACCCCGACATCTTCATGCGCGAGGAACTGGCGCTGCGTATCGGGCTGACAGAGTCCCGAGTGCAGGTACACCGGGCAAGAGCGCCGGGGCAGTAAAGGAGGGGGAGCAGCATTTGGGCAAAGGCAGAGGGGGGTCTTTTCTTTCCCCGCCCTGATCCTGGGCTGCGCTTCGGCTGCCTAAGCTTTCCCTGGGGAGTTAGCCCCCCTGCCGGGAGACTGGCCCCAGCCACCACCCCTCAATGGGCAGGCAGGGCTCCCATTTCCCGCCAGTATAGCCACATCCCCTCAGAAACAACGCATAAGTGAAGCCAGAGTTATCTGACTGCTAGGTCGCCTCTATCCTTCTGAGGAGGCAACCTCTGCGTCTCCCAGCCTCCATGTCTCTCGGGCTGCAAAGCCGAGCATGCACCCCCACTCCAGCTTGCATTATTGACAAGTACTTCATTGCCCCCTAATGACTTTGTGCTAAGCTTCCTGATAAATGGGGGAATATAACAATTACATGGAAACATAAAAAGGGAGACAATCAGGGAGCTATACCTGTGTTTCACGGTGTAGCTTAATTTTCCTGAATATCACTCGCCCGCGGCTTTCAGGAAAAAATACCCCTAGCTTTGACGTTTGTAAATGGTTTGAATTTAGGTGGACTACTGGAGATGGCTGGCGTGATCCCCCACAGCTTATGAGCTCTGTTTTTTTCCCAAAGGGAACTAGGGGGTGGGGGGAAATGAAGGTTTTCTGTTGTAAATGTCCAATTTTAAGAAAGGAGGCTTACGGCAGGAAAGATTGACAAGTAGTAGACAAAGTCACTACTGACCCCTTGTTCTGTCCAACTACCTCCTAAGTTGTAAATTACATGTAACAGAAAACCGCACCTATAACTTCTCTGAAAATTTGTGAATAAAGGTGTAAGCCTAATGAATCTCAGATCCCTTACCCCTGCTTTTTAAAAGAATGAAAACATCAAATATTTTATGGACAGGTGCTAGAGGTGAAATTCCAAGATGTACACTTAGTCTTGAGCTATCCAGAGTGCTGAAAAATCTTCCTTTCCTATCTTGGACGTGGTATTTTCTGTCTGTTATCCAGGGTGTCATCCTCAGCGCTAGGTGCTTCACAAATTAAATTTAAAGATCTCAGTTACTTTAGAGTTGATCTAAGAGGAGACAGGGTCTCCATAACCACAGTGTTGGTTCTATTCAACATTTTAAGGATTTTCTAACCTGGAAAAATAGTGTTAGCAAATAAATGTCTTTGAGGACTTAAAGTGGTCTAATAAAGTATTCAGGATATAACATAGATTAACATTTTTACCCAATATAAGCCTGGGTGGTCTTGTTCATGAACTATGGAATCCCTGAATCACGGGTCATTGAAATTAAGCACCTAAAGAGTATTAATTGCATTGTACAGATATATATTTTTAATGCTATTTAGATTTTTTTTACCTCCAATTTCTTTTTATGTCTGAAGTTGAGTTCAAACTTTAACAGAAATATGTAATTTCAACTCTTCCATTACTGCTAATGATAACACTGGCTTGTTCAAATCTTGTAGGTTCAAATTTCATAAAGTTGCTTTTTTTGTCCCTTGAAAGAAATACTATAAACAAAATTATATGTAATAATTTTTGCTTTAAAGAATAAAATGCTGTTGCTTAACCTAGACACAATGGTAATTAGTATAAATTAAAATAGAACTTAGAATCACAAATAAAATATAATTGGACAACTGACTTTATGAAAAAAGAAAATGAGGTCTATTAAACTTTATTAGGTCTTCCAAAGGTTAATGGCAGTGATTCTTTTAATAGAAAAAGTTGTAAATGAAATAAAATACAAACTAGGTAATAGAAACAGTTACTTTCAAAAAGTACACAAAAGAATAATCAAGAAGAAAGAGACGAAGTACTTTAATTGTCCTAGAATAATGTTCAACCAAAGATAATAGCTTGAAGGCTGCTGATAGGAACAATTTAATAGAATGGCAATTTCAATATTTTAAAAAATAATGTTCCATAGTTTAAAAAGTAATCAGATCAACATAACCTTCTTAATTAACATTTCAAAATGATTAACATTATGTAATGTAATGCAAAAATAATTTATGGAAAATGTATTTACTTCTCAATTCACTGTACCATTGCTCCTTGACCAAATTCAAATTAAATAGTAATTGGTTTATGTTCTTATATGATGAGTACTTCATAGTTTTCTTTATAGTTAACAGATTGCCAGACATTCTTTTCAGTATGTGGGCACTGCACTGATTAACAAAGAGCTAAACATTTAATTTATTGCAATTGCATGTTTTTAAAGATGCTTTTTTGATTCCAAATGATCCAACATATTTATTTTTATCTATATCTGGTATATATCATACTTTTAAGTATTTATTAAAGCACTCTACTCACATGGAGGCCAATTCCATTTCTGATATTGCTCCCCTTTTCTGACTAGTGTAATAAAACCATTCCTTTTATAGCATGCCATTATTAGAAACCAATTTCAGAATTATTTATAACCTGGAATGGCTTATTAAGCAGCAATGCGAGAATCATGCAAATTACGCGATCAAATGCAATATAATAAGCATAATCATTAGTCTCTAGCACGGATTAATTAACTTTCAATATTTTATTTACATAAAAACCAAATCAGTGAAATAACTTCTGCACAGTCAAGCTTGCCTTTCAATATTTTATATGAACAAAAATAATGTGCTGTAATTCCATTGACCGTGTCCCCCAGAATGGCCCTGTCACCTGCCACATCTTAATAGGGGGACAAGCTGAGAGTATTTTCTAGTTTTCTAATGGAATGAGAAATTGCATTTTCTTCCTCTCCCAGCACTATTAAAGTGTAATGAATTCGGCCCAGAGTTCACGGCTGGCTGATCGAAATGAACCTGAGATCTAGGCTTTAATACAGCTCCCCAGATTTCCTCTGAAATCTTCACATTAATCATTTGCTTGATTCCAATGAGATCTTCATAAAGCATTTGCTTTGAGAGGGAAAAAAGTAATATTCTCTCATTTTCCTTCTTTCTTGATTTCTGAGCCATTTATAGGTGGGGAATTAAACGGGCTATATATTTTAAAATACATTTACAGTATGTCTATATTACTGTAACAGCAGATATCATGAAAGTGGATTTTTAAATTCCAACCTCCATTAGATTCTCACTGTTGTATTAAGCATTTTCTGAGAAGAGCTGCATTTCAAACCGAGTACAAAGTTGGCCTGTGGCTTTGGTTAATATATTTTCTGGAGTTGTCATCTGTGCATTCTCAAAATCTCCCTTAGGTTTTGCCTGCATTTTAATCCGTCATGCTCTGGTTTTCAAGTGGAAATATTCACATTTTGAAAACATATGCATCATAGCTTGAAACGGAGGTGCTCAGACCCCATGCAAATTTTTTTCCCAACACCAGTAAGCCATGAAACATAAAAAGATGTTGTGGCCATCGTCTGACTGCTAACCCTCAAAATAATTGGGCACAATTTTTCTATTATTCCTATAATATTTAGTTCTTTTAACAGCTATTTTTTTTCCGCCTACCTCTGAGATTGCGAAACCTTTCTGGCGGGCTTCTACGGGGCAATCCCCGCCTCCTCCCCCTTCCTGCTTCTCTTTTTCCGCTGCCAGTCCCACACATTAAAACATTTAGGGATTCACTGACACTTGTGGGGTGTTAGGAACCGGTCTTTTTAGGTATCTTTCAAAATGTATCCGAGTGCGGAGTGTGAGGTGAGGGGACGGTTTGGACACAGACACCGTCCCAGGCTAGACGTCCGTCTGGTGACCCTTTCCCCATCCAGCCTTGGATGGGTAATGCAAAGCGACCTGTGGCAGTAGGTCTTGTGCTTTCCTTGGCCTTGCGGGTTACTCTCCGCCTGGGCGACTAACAGCTCAATCTGCGCCGGGCCTCATTGATTCCAGCCTCCATCAAGGGCCCTATTGCCTCATTAATCCGCGGCGCCACCAGCTCTAGAGGCTTTAGCAGGGAAGGGACCCGGGAACTTTACCCAATCCGAATGCTGGGATAGGCAGAAACGTGAAAGATGGGGTAGAAACTAAGAAAAAATAAACTGGTGGGCGATGGCGCAGGCATGGTAGAAAAGCCACGGCCCAGAGGCGGACCAGAATTCTAGATTGCAGTGCTATTCATACTGGTAAGCGTAGAGGGTCTCCACTTACACGGATGTGAACACACGGCTGTGCGTAGCTGGTTTACGGTGAACGGGGTAAAATACGTCCATTCTCGTGATACTTCAGAGTGTAGAATCAACATCGCTAAATAGCTTGGATTAACGGATGAATAACCTTTTGGCTACAAATATGGTGGTCAAACTGTATTGGCCACATTCTAAGAGGAAACTCAATCAGTACCTGAGCTGCATCTCACATCATTTATACTTTACCACAGTAAACCTCTAACTGACTAGATGTTAAGCAGCAAGGCTGCCAAGTTGGCATGCTGACAATTATATTTTCTTCAAAAAAAGGATCACATTCAAATATGGGGAGACAGGAAGTTATCTTGCCAGGCAGCTTACTTGATATCCTTTAGGAAGAACCTTTCATTCCCTTGTGGTAGTGAATTTTATATCCATAGGCAAATTTGTATGTTAAGGTCGGAAATAACAGGGTCACTGTTGAAGGAGTAGGAGGTTTATTTTCATTTGGAGTATATTTCATCAAACACATTTTTTAAAGATATCTGATTTGTCTAAACAAACTTAAATTTGGTTCATAACTAGTGTTATCTTTAAACGTGGCCTTTTTAAATTTATAATGGTCAGAAAATTGGCTTTTAGTTTATAGATGAAAGGTCGGGGGCATTGAAGGAATTGGAGGCCTTGTTTTTGGGATCCTCAGTAAGTTCCTAAAAAGAGTAGCCTTGAAAGACCTGGGACTGAGGGCTCTGGAATCAGGTTCCAGCACACCTGGACAGCTCATATAAAAGGTGCCTTTAAAGGGATTTAAGAACAAGACATGTAGACTTGTGTGTGGCAATAGCACCAGTCTCTGTAAATCAGAAGCCACCGAGACGACCTGAACAACACTGTAGCTCAGTGGCGTTCACTTTCCCACAGGATCACTTATGTCAGCTTCTCTGTTCTGTCATCCCTGGCGTTAGTAGTTTTCCTTTGTCTTTCGATTTTGAAACTGGCTATTGTCATCCACCGCCCTTCGTCAATTTTCAAATTTCCAACGTTTCTGAAAATTTCATACCCCATCAGTGTTATAAGGCATGCTATTAAGCCACATGGATACGCATGTTTATCTTCATTTGTACACCTGTGGGTCCAACCTTGACATATGCCTGCCTGCAGACCTGTGCGTCTAAGCAGTGCACAGAATGTGTAGGCATGCAGGGGCGTGGTGAGGACAGCACAAGGTGGTATGTTTGCACTGTGGGTAAGCGCTCCAGGGCACCATCACCCAGGACCTTGGGAGTTGGCGCTTGGTGGGTTGCAATGGGCGCCACTTGACTCGAGTTGGTGGAGAATCAGGTTGTCTGGCCAGGCGTGGGGGAGTTTCGGGCCAGTGGCAATTGTTCGGCCTGTGGCTGGGCGCGTGTATAGGTTGCGGGTTTCTGAGGCTAAAGCCTCCGCCCCTCCTGGTCCCCTCTAGCTAATAGAGCCTTGTCTCCCGCCCCGCCCTCTCCAGGTCTGGTTTCAGAACCGGCGCGCTAAGTGGAAGAAGCGCAAGAAGACCACCAATGTGTTCCGCGCACCGGGAACTCTGCTGCCCACTCCAGGCCTGCCTCAGTTCCCATCAGCCGCCGCCGCCGCCGCTGCCGCAATGGGCGACAGCCTGTGCTCTTTCCACGCCAACGACACCCGCTGGGCGGCGGCCGCCATGCCGGGTGTGTCGCAGCTGCCGTTGCCGCCGGCTCTGGGCAGGCAGCAAGCCATGGCTCAGTCGCTGTCCCAGTGCAGCCTGGCGGCCGGGCCGCCGCCCAACTCCATGGGCCTGTCCAACAGCCTGGCGGGCTCCAACGGCGCGGGGCTGCAGTCGCACCTCTACCAGCCCGCTTTCCCCGGCATGGTGCCCGCTTCCCTTCCCGGCCCAAGCAACGTCTCTGGGTCGCCCCAGCTTTGCAGCTCCCCGGACAGCAGCGACGTGTGGCGGGGTACAAGCATCGCCTCCCTCCGCCGCAAGGCTCTAGAGCACACAGTCTCCATGAGCTTCACTTAATGCAGCCGCGCCCAGCCCGCTCTGTCCCCGGCACCGCCCCAAGGGCCGGCGCGAGGCCCCTCCGGCGCGCGTCAGGGTCCCCACTCCCGGTCCGGCACCCTGCCCCATCCCGGCCCGGTCCCTGCCACGTCTCGTTGTGTTCTCCCCTCTTCCCTCCACTCGCTCGGGCTCACGCCAGGTCTCAGCCCGCGAGGCCTCCCCTCCGCCTGATTTCGCTCGCCCCGGTCCCCTGCCCTCCCCCAAACCCCTCTTTCCGTCTCACCCAGCTCCTCCCTGGCCCCACCTCCAGCGCCTCACCCCACCCTTTCCCTCTATCCCTGGGCCTCTCTGCTGCCCTACTCGAGCCCGCGCCCTCCTCCCGGCCTCAGACCGGTGGCATTCCCTCCCACACCTCCAACGCAACGCCTCTGACCCCTTAGCCCGCCGCTTCCCCTCCGGTTCCTTCTGGCCCCGCACCTCACGCCCCTCCTCCTGCGCCCTGCAAAAATCATTCTTCCCGCCATTTTACTACCAGGGAGTCGACTCAGGATCTGAAATCAGACACCAATGGACTGGTTTGTGGGCAGAAACACACACACTTGCACTCTCGCTCACTCTCAGACACTACACACACGCGCACACACACATACAGTGTACCTAAGTCAAACACAGACGTGTTCAAGGGACAGCACAATGTTAGGGATTTTTGTCTTAAAGGAGGACAAGCATCTGCTATCAACCGTCTCTTCTGAGGGCCCAACTAATATTATTTGATTTATCCTTGTATTTTTTTCCTCCAAACTGCTCTCTTTCTCTCCTCTCCCACCACCCTACCCTTGCCCCGTCCACCAGTCACGTCCATGTAGCCCTCTATTGGCTTGCAAAATAATGCTTTTACTTTATCTTACTCTTATTTTAAGCACAACTGTGTAAGGGTATTTAAGGGAAGGCTTCTCAGGAGGAACATGCCAGTGGATAGGGTGGGCTGGAGCAAACTAAAGCAGTCGATGTGAAGAGGTATCTTACCCATTTTGATAAGTCTTTATAAGGAAGAATAAATGTAAGAAAAATTTCCTTTTGTAAAAGCAAAAGCTACATCTTTTTCTGGATCCTTCAGGACTGGGGTTTGTTTGCTTCCTTTTCCGTTTCTCTCTCCTAGCTGCTCTGTGCCCTTGGTTGTTTTGTGGTCGTCCTGTCGTCCCTCGTGCCCCCCGGCCACCGCCCAGGCCCCTGCTGGCCTCCGGTGGGTGCACTAGGACATCTACAACCCTGCAACTTTGTACCGAGAAACACAATCAGCCCTTTCTGCATGTGCTGGTCAAATACAAACCCAGAGAACAGAAACGCTTTCGAAGAATGAACAAACATGTGAAATAGGATGTTTTGTGTAGATAAAGAATTCTTGTTAAATACTGGTCAATTTGTGATATGTTTTAACTTATGTCTGTGCTTATTTATGGAATTTGGTTTTCTTAATAAATGTTTGAGCTAATATAAAGGATATTAATTTGACTTTTCCGGACAAGTTTATATCAAGTTTAATGTAAATGGATAAAATAAAATCATTTTCAGTATGTGATATGGAGAATGATGGGTTTTGGTGTAACTTTGGATGGCGGGAGGGGTCTCATGGCGGGGAGAGGAAGAGAGCTCGTCCTGGAGGTCCCCAATTTGCTCTCAGTTGGTGGGATCGCCGCATTTGGGGCGCGCCCACCAACACAGCAGCCTGTCGAGGAGGCCCGGCCCCACGTCGCGCAGCCCGTGGGCCGGAAGTGAGAAAGCTGGGCCCGTGGGCGCCTCACGCGAGCTCGAGGCCTCGCGAGTCTTTGGGCCGGCCAGCGGCTTCCGAGCGGAGACGAAACTGCGAGCTCAGCTGCGGGCGGTTAACGCAGGGCCTGAGGATCGATCATCTTGGGCGAACGGTTTTCCCCGGACAAAGGAATGGAGAGCGACCCTTGCACGGCTGCGGGCGTGTGCTGGGGAGGCCGTGGGCAGGAGGAAGGACCACGGTGCCGGAAGCGTGGGGACCAGGAACCGTGCGCTCCAGCGGCGCCCAGGCGGCGCCCGGCCCAGGTACGGTGGAAGTAAAAGGCACCGGGCTCTTTTCTCCCTTGGGGCCTAGGCCTGGTTGTTTCCGCAGATCTAGGCTGGGCTTCAGCCACCCGAGACCTCCCACGTTGTGGCAGAGGCCTTGGGAAGAATGCCTAGGACAGCCAGGCTGCAGGTCGGCACCTTTCAGGCCTTCCCTCTGGGAGTGCTCTGGTTTTCTCAGGGTCCTTATCTGGTGCGAGCTCACCTCGAATATAGCCACGTGCTCGGTAGACTTCCCCAGACTACTGGTGAAAATCGCTGTTTCTTCGGTAGTCTGAGCGAGAAGGTTGTGGGTGTGCTTTAAACTTGGAGGTGAATGGATGTCACAGGCTTCCTTTGGCAAACTAACCAAAATCAATCTTGTGGTTTGAAATTAAGTGGTCATTATAGGCATCGAGAGTGCACCCTTCCCATGGGAAGATTTCTCATTTCGTTGCCACAAAGGGCAAACCCTAAAAACATCCTTGTCGTAGAACACAGTTTCGTACCAATGGGTTATTTGCTGTAATTGTTACATAACTAAAAGTACACAATGGAATCTCCTCAAAGGTGAGGATAAAAAGACATGATTTTGTATGATAAAGAAAAAAACATGTTCATGTAACATTAGGAATTTTAAATTAGAGGTAAAATTGGTGACTGGGTTCACAGAATATTTAAATTCTGCGTTTTCTAAAGGGTATTTTTGATACCGTTAAAATATTAAAATAGATAAAACCATGCTAATCTGGGATTCATACAAAATGGAACATTTCTGTATTTTAAAACTCACCCTAGAATTTATCAGCATAATAACTGAATTTCTAAAATATCGGTAGCTGAAGAATACTTTTCCTTATTTTTATGTTTCGTCATATTTTCCCTTGTCTTAGGTTAGAGCTTATTTTTTTCTTTTTTAAATTTGATATCATGGATACTGTAATTTCAAGTCACATTTAAGAGACCAGTTGAAATCACGAATTGCTTCACCAGTGAGCATGGAAGGTTGTTTACAAAGAGGCTAATTTTGCAGCTTTTTTATGCTGTTATAAAGCATAACTTTATGATGTAGGAATGCAATAAAGGATGCTAAATGGAATCTTTAAAAACTGTATTTCTCGAAGGCAAGGGAAATCTTTCATTTGAAAAAAAAATGAGCCAACTCAGAACACTGATGAGAAGTTACAAATCAACTGAAGTGATAAATGCTTTCAAAGATATTTATATTTCATAATATAGTGGTAATTTATCAATATTATAATGAAAGTGCACAGAGTTTTTCACTTGACCTGACTCTGGAATAATATTTGTTTCTATGGCAATAGATTTTTGTACAAGGCCTGCACATTTTAATGTAATATATGTCATTAGTGTAAGCGAAGGCAACCTGGTCTAAATTGTTAAGTTTATCAAAGATAAAAAGCAGAGAATAAGAATCTCAATGACAAGCCTGAAAGGTTTCTGCATTTTGAGGAAGAAAAAAGCCTAAGGACAGAATAATGCTTTTTAGTTTTTTACTCCTAATCAACAGCAATTCTGACTCAAAGTTGTTAGTTATGATAATAACTAATTGCATTCAATAAGGGAATAAAGACAATAATGATGAATAATATTAGAACACAAGGTAGATAAGTACAACATGCTAAGTGTCCTGCCTCTAATGAATTGTACTTTTTGCTGAGTAGCCTGTTTAGCATTGAATTCTGGTGTGACTTGCTAGCTAGAAAAAGTCTAAGCCCATTATGGTGTAACTATATGATTGATTTATTTGAGTACACATATTCATCCTTAGACCTTTATTTTCCTCTGAATATTGTTACGAAATATGAGTGACATACAAATGATGGTATAGTAATGATGTTGTGCTTAGTTTACCTTTTGTTGATGACAGAAGATATAGGATACAAGAATTCAGCCTGCTAAAAGGTGATGTTAGGTATTGAATACAAAATAGGATGCAGAGCAATCTGGGTAAATCAAGGTAGATATGAATGGAGAATAAAGAGGGAATTCTAACTTAGGAGCAACTTATGTTTGATGCCCTCAATGACTGCTTTCCCTGAAAATGGAAATGTTTTTAATTTGTTGACTTTACATTTTAATTTTTAGGATAAAGAAAAAACTTAACTGTCAAGATGTGTCTTCTAGTAATGGCAGTAGTTAACCTGTCAATTGAAAGTATGTAACCTTCCTTTTCTCCTTTTCATGGCATAAAGGTAGTCTCATCTGAGGGCATTTATGTGAAGAAATAACAGCATGGCATGGTGAAACTACTGGCTCATTAATCCTGGCATCTACTTCTTACAGGGTTCCTTGATTAGTTAGATCATTCATTGGACATTTTGGAGTTTTGATTTGTCACTATTGGCTAGGTTCACTGAGTTCAGGCTAAATTGAGCCAGAAGCAATGTTTATTAGTAATTTTGTAGTACAGTCTACCCTAATAATTCAGTGCAAATATCTCATCTGAAAAGTATCCATTCACCCTCACTTTGTAATATGGGTTACAGCTGTGTTCATAGGAAATTGAAAGAACACAAGTGATTGGGCATGTATTTTCTAAATTATTAATATAATGGCTAATAGCTGTAAACCCATCTTCATATCCAATGGAGAAATTATGATTCATTTTAAAAATGAAAGCAGCAACAAAGGGAGGCACCCCCTGCCTGGCTCTCTGCTAACTCTCATCAGTGCAGAGCTTTTGATACAAGAACCATGGCCTATATAGCATGTGGTCATTACAGAGAGAAACAGAATAATGCTTTTCACTTTTCCTCATGCATGCTCCATCAAAACAAAGCATAGATTTATAAGACTTACTAGAAAAGGCTTTTAAGGAATTTCATGTAAGAGCTACACAGAGGGCCCTCTTTTGATTTTGATGATGTCGTCAGTCTTTAAGCAGACAAATTTGTTGTTTATGCAGGTAAGCTGCATCTTCTATCCACATTATCAAATATCCCATGTGTCCATGTTCCATTTTAAGGTTCCATGTTTAAGGTTCCATTGGATTTGAGATACACTTGTTGTAGTTGCTCATGCTGCCACATCCCTCTTAGTTCTGAGTTGAAGTAGTTCACAAGTACCAGGAAATACATAATTAGCATACATGACATATATTGTGTGTGTTTTTTGTATCTTTTTTTGAAATGTCACAGAGCTTTATGTGGTTTTGCTCATAGTCCTTACTGGATGTACTTAAGAAACACTCAAACAAGATCAGATTAAGAACTATAGAACCCCTTACCGCTGAAAAGACTATATGCAATCCTTATAAAATTAAAAATAAAAACACTAAATTGTAAAACACAAACCGTAGATGATACCAAAATTAATGTAAGTTCTTTATAGACTTTCTAATTGCACAACTTGGAATGAGTTCAGTGAATCTGAACTGGTCTCTCTTTCTGCTGCCCTTGCTTTATTATCACCTGCTTGGTCTGCCTATTAGGTACTCCAGCACTGATTTCAGATGGTGTTTATTACTTTTGCTCCAGTACCTTATATTTGAATCCCATTTTTCAGTTTACAAGCACATTATTAAGTCATCATGTAATATCCACTTTTATGAAGTAGATACTATAATTCCTATTTTACAGATGAAGGAACTGAGACTCATAGAGTCTAAGTAACTTTCCCAAGGTCACATAGTTCTTTAGGTCAGATCTTCAGATGTTTCAGCAATACTATTGTGTTTGTGACATTGCTTTTATTCTTAAAGTATTTTTAAGGAAGAAAGCCAAATAACTTTCCCTTACTTAGAAGTTTAGCAATCCACTCTTGTAATTTAAATAAGAAAGGTTCTTTTTGGTGAGACATGATAGCCGCATTAAAATTACACATGGTTTCAATAGTCTAGAAATGCTCCTTTCCTCCTGAATTTTACTCTCTTTCTAGAGGTTTTTTCAAGAGAGTTCTAGTATGCCACCAAGAAGTCTCTTTATTGTTGAGGAATCTTTTTTTTTGAGAGGGCATCTCTCATATTTATTGATCAAATGGTTGTTAACAACAATAAAATTCTGTATAGGGGAGTCAATGCTCAATGCACAATCATTAATCCACCCCAAGCCTAATTCTCGTCAGTCTCCAATCTTCTGAAGCATAA